TTTTTTTTTTTTTTTTTTTTTTTTTTTTTTTTTTTTTTTTTTTTTTTTTTTTATTGAGCTCCCATGGGCCTTCAGTAGACTTGAGTATATTTATCTTTGGGCCTAATCCCCCTCATGTGGACTTGGGCTTATCTTTGGGCCTATTCCCCTCATACGGACTTGGGCTTATCTTTGGGCCTAATCCCCTCATACGGACTTGGGCTTATCTTTGGGCCTAATACCCCTCATACGGGCTTGGGCTTATCTTTGGGTATATCAATTATTTTAAGCTTTTCTTAAACAATTCTTTATATCCTCAAAATAATTCTCATTCTAATGAAACCGTTCATTTTTCATTTCTACAAAAAAAAAAAAATTCATTCATTTCTACAAAAAAAAAAAATTCATTTACTTTTGCACGGATCAGGGGTATTCTATAATATTCATTTATAATATTCATTTTTTGTAGAAATTATAAATGAATATTCATTTTTGCACGGATCAGGGGTATTCTATAATATTCATTTATAATATTCATTTTTTAGACGTTTCTTCTAATCACTACTAAACCACTATTTTCATTTGATATTCTATAATGTAACTATATATTCAAATTGCAAAATTTATGTATATTATTTATTTTTTAATAAAGAAAAAAAAATGCAATTCAATTTCAAATAAAAGAATTTCTATATAGAATTATATGGGTAATGGTGATTAGAATGAAATGCAATTCAATTTCAAATAAAAGAATTTCTATATAGAATTATATGGGTAATGGTGATTAGAATGAACGATTCATAAATATAAATCCCAAATCAAAAAATTCTATGGAATAATGTAATTTTTCTCAATTTATTATTTTTTAAAAAATAGTTATTTTAAAGTTTTATTTTTCAATACAATCTTTATAAAAAAATTGTAAAAAAGAAAAAAAAAGAAAACTAATAAATCATAATTTTTAAAAATTTAAATTTTAATATTACACAATTAAAAAAATTCTACCACGTAGCTTTTAGTTTAAATATTACTAGTCTCAAAATTAACTATGCATATTTTTTAACATGCGTTGAAAATATATATTATATATTAAATGGGTTGGGGAATTGTGTCTCGACCTCACAGGTAAAATGGACTTCTCTTTGTGTCCCTTCTTTATGTAGGCATCACATGACAATCAATTTCCACATTGGTTAGTCCCTAAACCATATTTGAACTAAGAATTCGAATCTTATGATCTTGACATTTTCTTAAATTTTATGGCTTCGATAGTATCCTACATTATGCAACATGATTCTGTTACCTACTTATCTTGAATAACTTATAATATTGAAGACTATCCTCACAGTCCAACATAGGTCATTTTAGAATGTTTTTGTTCTCATTCACATGAAGACTATAAAAGGTTCTCAAGACGTCACCTAACCTAGATTGTTCCAGACAAGTGCGATGAACTATATAATTTCTAAGGTTAAGCCAAAAAAAAAAAAAAAAAACATGCACGTAGTTCGAATAGATAATAACTATCAATTCTTTTAAGTCTTTCTAAACTGTAATTTCATATATTCATGATTACTTTCAAAACAATATGCGATTATTTTCATTAAGATATGATCTCAGTTTATTCACATTCGTAAAAATTAAACCCAACGGTGAATTGATTTTTGTTTAGGCCTAACAAGTCTAAAATAATTTAAATAAAATTTATTTATTTATTTAGTTTGAGTTAAAAACTTACAAGGAATTCTTGAGATTTTAAATTCTAAAATTTTGAGGCATGACAAACAGAATTATATATTTGGAAATAAATTAGTTAAAAAAAAATAACACGTGTACGGAAAAATTACAGACAATATTTGTCGTTTCAGAGTGGGTCAAAGGACCAAGTTAGAAGGGCAAAATTGTCATATTATATTAGGGTTTTGGATAAAGGATTATTTGAGTAGGAAAAAAAAACAATTATTAAAAATATTCGACATATTTTGACCAAAAGTAATTTTAAATGGTTGCTAAATACATAATAAACTATTATCTTAATATTTCTATCACTTAATAACTTCATTTAAAAAAAAAAAAAAACTTTTATTTAGTACTTTTCATATATATATATAATAATCCTATAGCAAATAAACTAATATTAATTTATATAAATGAAATCATATTAATTTTCTTAGTTAGTAACTTCTCGTTCTTATGCGTTACTCACCCGTCTACCACTGGAAACACCACTTCCCGTCCGACTTGCATGTGTTAAGTATGCTGCCAGCTTTCATCCTGAGCTAGGATCGAACTCTCCATGAGATTCATAGTTACATTACTTATAGCTTTCTTGTTTGTAGACAAGGCATGACTTGTATCCATGCGCTTCATATTCGCCTGGAGTTCGCTCCCAGAAATATAGTCATCCTCACCCCCTCACGTCAATCCCATGAGCCTCTTATTCATTCTCATTCGATCACAGCGGAGGAGCAAGTAAAAATAGAAAAAATCGTAGAGAATTGTCAGATTATTCATTTTTTTGTTTTAAAACTATTTTAAAAAAAAATTATATTTATCTTCCCTATAAATTGCATTAATAACTAAAATCTTATAAATTTTAAATATCAAATATTCACCGGTCATCTTACAAATGTAAAATATTTTCAACTTTTAAGTAGAATGGAATCGAATTGAATTGTTACTCTGTTTTCTGTGATGGACAGATCAACCCGATCAACTTAGATTTTTAAATTTTTGAAAATTCAATCCAATATATAGTGAGAGAAATGGTGGGGGTCGAAGTGATTTTGAATGGGAGAGAAAATGGTGGACAGAGAATAGTTTCAGAGAAAGATTCGATGTTGGTGGCAGAAGGAATATTGTTAGATATATATACATACACACACATATATATATATAGAGAGAGAGAGAGAGAGGAGAGAGAGAATAGTTTGAGGAAAAAAAAAAAAAAGATTCCAAAAGCAGAAAAAGGAGAGAGAGAAAAGAGGCATCTCTGCAAACTCGTTTTTAGTTATATGTTATGTGGCATTCCTCCCTCACCTATTCCCACCACCTTTCTCGTGATTTTTCCAATTATTTTACCATTTCTCTCTTTTTCTTTTCTTTTTTCTAAAAATAAATTATTTTAATTCATTTTCAAAAACTTTAATATAATTCCTTTCACCTCCGTCGCAGAGGTAAGCGAATCATTTTTATAAGGGTGTAGAAACATTTTCTTAATATATGCGTTTTAAAACTATGAGCTTGATAGCAATACGTAATGGACTAAGATGGATAATATCTACTAGCAGTGGACTTGAGTTGTTACAAAATTAGACACCGAGCTATGTGTTAATCGAGTAGAATTCTTTGTGAAGAGGAGAGGCTATAAATGTAATAAACCGAATTATAAGTTAATGAAATTATGTATATGAGTCATTTAATTAAGCATTGATCTAATTTTAGTCTGTCTCTTTGGTTGTTTGGAAGTGTTAATTTCTTTTATTCAACGTTACTTCAACAAAAGATTGGATCGTTGGGTTATTATGATTATTTTAATAATTTTTTTCTTAAGTTTTGTCAAAGAATTTACGTCTTCTCTCGGTGCTTTCTTAGTGCATACACGTAACAAGTATAGTAGTAGGTTGGATTCGATTAGGGAGGGTAACCCAACCAACCCATATATTAGTGGGTCGAATCGTGGTATGGAAGTTATTGGACACCGCCATGGCAATAAGAGCATGAAGCGAGGGGCATGGCTGCATTACAGCAAGTCACAGTACTAACAATAAAAATATTTTTTAATTTTTTTTTAAAAGTCTAACGATATTAATAAATATTATAAAAATTCAAGAATATTTTTTAAATAAAATGATAATCAGAATAATTTTTTAGATTTTTTTTTAAATTTAAAGATATTATTAAAAGTTTATAAAATTTAGCTTTTAATTAATAAAGCTACAAAAACAAGATTTATAAGATTGAGAAATAATAATAATATAAAGTGTGTTATAAAAGTGTGCAATTAATAATAATTGGAGACGGAATGTTGTGGGCTTCGTGAAGGTATTTGGTGGGGAATATTTATAATCTCCTATTCTTATTTAATTATTTATTTATATTTAATTCCTTTAATTTTATATTATTAGTTTTAAGTATTTATTAAACAACCTATCTTTTACTTACCTATTTAATTCCATTTATTTATTTTAAACCTAAATTTTTATTTTTTAATTTATACCCAAACATTAAATTAATTTAATATTTTTAAAAAAATTAGAGGAAAATTAGAACCTCGAGTATGTGTTAACTATCAGCTAAATTATGCTTAAATTGATAATTATGACAAGATATAAAAAATATGATATTGGTTATTTTTTATATTAAATATAAACGTTTTATCATTCAAACAAGGAACACAACGAAGCTCTTTACGACATATTATTAACTTTTTTTTTAAAAAAAAATCTTTATCTTGATGATTCTAAATCTTCCATTTCCCATTAGAATTCAAAATGGAAAGAAAGGTAAGAAAAATAAAAATTTTCAAAAAAAAAAAAAAAACTAATTAAAAGAAAAAGGCTAAAACAAAATCCAAAACTAAAACCAAAACCCCATATGCCTCCCCTTTCTGACAAATACACATGGGAACAATTTCAAACC